TGAAATAAGATATTTTTTTTCTTGATAGACTAATACGTGCTTCTACAAAATAAAAAATATTTTGTTTCTGATCGTGTAAAATAATACTGATCGATTTCAAGATTTTAATTATTACGTTTCTTCTGTTTATATTACTTATATTAAAACAGATAATGTCATAGGATAATATGTCATTAAAAATATTGTCCAAAGTACTCGAAACTCATATAATTATAGGTAGATAGGGATCTTTCTTTGTTTAAATATAAACTAATTTTTGTTGAGACTCACAACTTATAAGACAACCTTTATATTTATAAATGATTGCCAAATAAAAAAACGAAATAAATACATGATAAACATTTTTAATTAATGTATCTTACAATGAAACAATAGACTGTTGAAATTTGCAGAGATTTAAAAAGAAAAAGATGTTCATATGACATATTTTCATTACGAAAAACATTTAACACGTGTTCCTTGATGATTCATAAATAAAGCATTCATTTGAAAGGAATAAATTATTTCTTCCACATCATCTAATTATAATTGACATTTAGCATTAATATAAAAATGAAAGTATTTTAAACTAACTATTTAATCAGATAATAATATTGACGAATAAAACTGGTATTAAAAACAGATTTTCATATTGTATAAGCTGTTTCATATAAGCTTGAATCGTATAAAGGGAAAGTTCAAGTTTTGTAGCACGATTAACATCCTGAATAAACCATTTAGCATTAAAAAATTCTAAATCATTGTAAACAAAGTTATTCAATCTAAGAATTTGCAATTTTGGTATCTATTGCACAAAAAAACGTATTCTATTTAAAAACTGCAACTTTCCTCGACACTCAAAATTGAAATACTATAACTGAAAATGATCTATTTACATTAATCTCTTTCTTTTCTTTATATAACTGCTGATCTATTAAAGAGATTCGAAAAAAAACCTACTATGATTAGTCCTAGTCGAAGGAGTTTGAATACTTATTTCAATTTGATCTTTTTAATATCAGCAAATGATCGACAGCGTCATTATGTCACCCTTCTCTCTTAGAAATCACTTCAAACAGTTTATTTCGTTAATTTATATTTCATTTGATCTTATTGATATCGAATTTAACCATTTGATTATCGAAAGAAGTTGACACATATACTTTCTTATAAAAGAATACACCAGGATCTAAAAGCATTCATTACAATTCATTAGGACGTTACATTTTCAATTTATTTTTTCTCTTTTGCATGCATTACATAAATATACTATTTACTGCATTTAACTAAAAGTAGCAAATGTTTCTTTTTGGTTTATTGTCTGTTGATTACCTGGCTCAATATTTTTCTTACATCTTTACTATTTTCTTTATCTTTTTCATTCATTAGTATAGCGGAATATTAGAGAATGGCTTCTACTTTTTTTCTTACGATAAACTCATCCATACCATAATTCGATTCGCTGAGATTTGTGAGCATTCGAACAATATCCACTGTATCTGATACCACGATACTTGAAATCGATAATTAATCTTCTAGAATTTTGTCTATGGGTTTGTCTGTTTTCTAATTGATTGAAATTAATCAGGTAGCGAATTATTCAATCAACAGCTTCTATCAGATACTATCCCATGATAATACTGAAAATATTTTTTAAGTCAAAATCATCAAAATTTGATTTTTGTTGCTTTCAGAAATAAAAATATACGAATAATTTATATATAAAACGATTTTTATGTCATTGTTTTTGAAATATTGCGATTAATCGTCAAAACTGATGTGATTTTGACGGTACATTGAGTAAAAAAATATTTGAATTTAACAAAAGAAGTTTTCTAACGTCAAATAAGATTGTTTTTTTTCTTTTATATCGCTTATGTAAGATCGTAATCTATGAACTATGATTCAAAAAGCTTTCTCTAATTGTTTCGATAATGAGAAAGTTAACATGTTTTGGTTAAAACCTTCGACAATAACAAAAATATATTATGTTTTGTTTTGTATTTCAATAAAAATCAATATTACTTATTAGTTAATCTTGATTCGTTGTACGATTTTATTTTAATACATGGTACAAATCCATTACTGTCATTCAATTCTAAATCTATGTTTTCTGCTTCATTTCAATGGTGAATAATTTTATTTTTAATACAATTGTAATTCTATACACCATGTTGACGTGAAGTATTCACAGTAATAAAATACCCACAACAAGGACATTCTTTTTTTTTCAAGTCTTGTGCTCGAACAGCGTTGTTTTTATTTATTTAACAAAAAAATGAGATGAAATACTAAAACATAAGAAAAATAAAAATCAAGAACTGTGACTTTTTTCATTATAAAGTGCGGGTCAAAAGTCTGCCACCACTTTTTTGTTTTGAGTCGTGTATTAAAACTGCATAAGATTAATTTAATCCAATTATATGTTTGTATAGCAGAGATCGAGTCTTATATATATACACCTGTTCAATTCGAAAAACTCTTGAATATGAAATACAATAAGAAAAACAAACTTCAGTACTAAGAAAAAAATGACACAAAAACTACAAAATGATATTGTTGTTATAAGATACTTCCATGGTCAGTCAACCACGAAAAACACAAAGTATGCAGAAAAATTTCCATTTTATCAGACTTTGTAGAGCTTTCTTCGCCGATCATTTTGGTAAAAAAACATGTTGAATTTCATTGAGGAATGACGGTACTATAATCAAAACATTAAACACTGTGAAATACCCGGTGTTCCAAAAATGTTTCCAACATAGTTTGTTTTGCGAATATCTCTGCCAAGACAAATGATAAAATCTTGGTTATTATTTCAAAAGATACGCCGTGAAAAGCTCTACAAAATCTGTAAGCACAAACCCGATTGATTTCTTTTGATGGTTTCTTCTTATACTCAAAATGAAAAAAATCCATGATAGTGCTACTTCCCACCGTATTTAACATAATAAAAACGTTTGGAAGGCTGTTATATTTCGCATGTATCTCGGTTTAAGAAAATGATAGCATCTTGATTTTTTTTCAAAAGATGTACCGTCGAAAGCTCTACGAAAACCGTTTAAATAAATTCCTATTGCACAGCAAAAGCCTTCCAAACATTTTTATTATCATTTTGTAGTTTTTTTTGTCCTTTTTTCTTAGTACTGAAGTTTGTTTTTCTTATTGCATTTCATATTCAAGAGTTTTTCGAACCGAACAGGTGTATATATATAGTACTAGATCTCTGCTATCCAAGCATATAATTGGATTAAATTAATCTTATACAGTTTTAATACACGACTCAAAACAAAAAAGTGGTGTCAGACTTTTGACCCGCACTGTAGTTTTGCACAAGAGCCTCTTTAGTATTTTGTATTTCAGGTATTCATTTTAAAATATGATTTCTTCAGGTTTAGAAAAAAGAAATTATGTGATCTAAACATTCAGTATTTTTTTTCTCGTATCTGCTCATTCATTGTTAAAAGTGTGCAAGACATTCAAGATTATTTTAAATAATGCTCTTTAATATTTATTTCAGGGAGAAAATTGTAGATGTAGAATTGCCACCACCTAAGCATCTTTTCAGCATTTCAGTACCTCTAGATACTAAAACTTAGTAATGGTGATCCTAGTGTTTTGGAAAATAGGATAAAATTGAAGTTATCGCTAGGGAAGAATATCCCTGTGTTTCGACTATTTTACGCTATTCAGTGTTGCCTAGCGACAGATTTAATAGGTCTGTATGTTCTTTACAATTAATGCTAGCTGTACCTCTAAGCAGAAGATTGGCCTGACCCAGAGTTCTTCCGATCAATTGCTTGGGCTCCATATACACATTAAGTAACCACGTACTAGTCACAATAGCAGGTGTATCTAGCAACGTGATCAGCATGCTATCGAGTAGTTGATTCGAGATAGATAGCCATTAGTGGTTTGTTCAGGGCTATTCTTGTAATACATTCGAACTCTGATTAAGTAAAAATTGTCATAATCTTGAAATTATTATATATTTCAAGTTTCCTTATGATCATTATGGTCGTATGTCACGTAAATAATTTGAAATGTTTCATCGTCCAATGGTGAAACATCTCAATGATTTCTTGTCATGTTATCAAATTAAATCAATCAGAACGAATCTCATTTCGAATGTACATTATTAAAACAACGAGCGTCTTTTGTTCCAGTGAATTCGTAATTTCTTTGGTTTTGCATCAAGAGAACATGCGCGAAAGCGACTACTTTCATTGCAGCTGACCATCATCGATCATCACGTTCGAGAGAATACTTATAAATGGAATAATGATCCAGTAAGATATCGCTATTATTCAGGTATTTGACATCAGTTATAGTAATTCAATATGATTTTCAACAATCTTTCAATATTTTCAATTAATTTAGATATGAATTATTTTTTCAACTTCGATCAATCCTTCCTCAAGTGTCTAGGAAAAAACTCAAAAACTTCTGACTAACAATCAACTAAAACAAATCTTTCATCGAGTTAAAATGTGACCGGCATGCAATTTAGTGATAAAGTACCATTTTCTCACTTTTTGAAAAAATATTCGACACGATATTTTCGCATTGCTTGTTTTTCACATTGACAACAACAATCACGAGCAAACGATTTTTTCTTCATCATTAGTGTTAACGTTTGCGCTAAAGAAAATTTTGAAATACTAGGTCAATCCTAACCCATTGCTCATTGCATACTGAACACTTCAACTGTTTAATCGATCAAAATTCAAATCATCTTTGATATTTTCCTATTTTGCAGGTGAATTTCAAAAACTATCGATTCTCTATTGATGAATACAAAATCTTTTAACTCGATCACAAATGAGAACGTTTGGATAATATCTGAGTATCCGACACAGAAATGTCTGATAGAACTTAAGATTGAAAACGATTTCTTTCCACGTAATGCATGATCATATCCTAATTGATATAAGATAATCCTATTCAAAATGACTTTATTATTCGGTCACTTTTCAAGACTATGATGAGAATGTTAAAGTAATGTTTATTTTCAAAAATCATTAAATTCGATTAATGTTGAACTTTTGTACTCGATGATTTCCATAGTCACTCACGTAGAGATTACCATCTCTATCAAATGACAAATCGACGGGACTATAGAGTTGATTTGATTCACTCCCTTGACCATTTCCACCAACGATGACACTTCCTTGTGTATCACCTGAACACCAACGCATTATTCGATGATTTCTGTAGTCAGTCACATAGACAGTACCTGATTGATCCACGACAATTCCATGAGGATTCGATAACTGCATAAGACTATTTCCTTGACCTTGACCGCCAGCTACAACAATGCCTTCTTTTACACCTTCCATCCACTTCATCACCCGATGGTTACCATAATCTGATACATACACTGAATGATCTCGATCGACGAATACGTATGTCGGATTAGACAACTGATCAAGACGATTTCCTTGTCCATTTCCACCTGCAACAACTGTTCCTTGATTTTCTCCCATTCGATATCGTCTAACTTCATGTTTAGCGCAATCAGCAACATAGAGAAATCCATCATCGTCTATTGTCAAGCCCCAGCATCCAACATTTGATATGATTGTTTCTCCACTTGTACCATTTTGACGAGGCCATCGAACTACTCTTTTATTGTTGTAATCACAAATGATAAGACTATCTTTTTCTTTATTAATAATCACATCTGTCGGAGTGTTCAATTGTTCAGGACGATTTCCTTGTTTATTTCCACCGGCCACAATTCGGCCAGTCATCGCACCACATTCCCATGCCATAATACGATTATTCGATCCTTCAACAATGTAGATAGTTTGATTATCATCGACTCGCAAACCCCATGGATTGTTGAGTTGATTCATTCCACTACCTTGTCTATTTCCTCCTGCCACAGTCACACCAGTGTATATCCATTTTGTATTTGCATTCAGATCTGCACTACGTAGTAATGATACTGAAAAAAAACATAATTTGGTTCATTCACGTTGGATCAATGTACGTGGATGGAAACCGATATTCCATGTAGAGAACTTCGATTGAGAAAGAGAGAAAGAACAGTTTTAGTCATTTTTCGTATTGAATAGTACCTTAATAGTAATTTCATTGTTTTCATATTTCGAATGATGATTAATATTCGAATCTTCGAGTTAAGCATCGAAAAACTTTTTATCTTTTGAAGAAAATTTAATAACAAAATGTCATTATTGATCATCACAATCAGTAAAGAAATCTTGACAGTACCCTTTTTTTCGAATAGATAACTGTTGATAATAGTTCTAGACAATTGAAATGGCTATTGAATTTCGTTAGAAATTTAAAAAAATCAATAGTTGTTTTTTTGAACAACAAACGATCGACACTTCAATAAACATTTGATAAAGCTTCATGCAATATGATTTTCATAAAGCCAATCAGATCAAAATTAGGAATGTCACAGATGCGACAAAACGTTTGCAATAATTGAGACACTCATTCATTGTGAAAAAAAGTCAACATCAATGACTCGTGTGAACAGAGGGAAGCTCATGACGAAGTCCAAACTCAATTCATTTTTTTGGCTTTCACTGAATTTTAGTCGAGAAAGAAAACAATCGAAATTCGGTTTTCTCACAATGATCTGTCAAAGAAAGAAACAGCAATTTCTTCTATTCCACTATCGAAAGTTTTGACTCAACACATTGTGACTAGTTCATCGTTTGATTTCAATAAATATCAACTTTCGATTTATGTCAATAGGAAGGTTAACTTAAAAGAATTTGGAAACCTCAGATGATCTTCTTGTTTTCGTTTGATACTCTCATACACGCTTTTTTCTTTACCTATTCTAAAGATATGACGGAGCAAGTATTAACATTTTCGAACCATGTGTTAATTAAAAGCGCAAAAGACTAAAGAAACTCTTGGAATTAAATTTTGTGTCACTTATATTTGATTCGAAGCTCGACACATTTTAATCATCTTCACTCTCAAAATGCAATGCATGAATGATTATGGGTCAAAGATTCAACTTTCGTGTACTTTAGACTACTATCTATGTCAAAATATAATATACTCCAGTAGTTTTTGAATAACTTTTAATGGGAACATCATGGAGACCTGCAGTTTACACCATTCCAAGGGTGTGCGTATTCATTTCACTCTTACCCACACTCACCCTCAAAATGAAACTTCAATGTGTTGAATATGTTTTATTTTGGATGAAAATCTGTTTAGTTGCATCTCTCGAAGTAATTCTAATCTATCAATGTGTTAGTTTAGATCGATTAATGGAGCGAAAAAGTGGAATTGAATGAAGAAAAATATTTGATTGGCTTCTTGGAGAATTTCTTTTCGTTTACAGTTTTAATTCAAAATACTCACAGTTTTGTTGTTCTTCACGGATATAGATGAGTCGATTCCAATCAATTTGGTCATTATTATCAATAATGATTGATTTCTTTGTATCTTTTTGAAAAAATTGTTGAAGTTTCTCTTGAACTTCATCGATTTTTTTTCGAACTCGATTGATATCAGTTTCAAGAAAATTTTCTTCTTCTCGACAACAACGAATTTCTTTTGTAATTGGTTCAAGTTGATTAATTGCTGTTATTCTTTGTTTATCAATTAATTTGATAAGTTCATGGTGAGCTTTTTCTGCTGCTTTTTCTACTTTATTGATTGTTGTTTTTTTCCATCGTTCAATTTGATCAAAAAGATCCAACGACAAATAATTTGATTTTTCTAATTTTTGTATTTGATCAAGAAGTTCATCATGTGATCTTACTATTTCATTGTCAAATTTAATCGATAGTTGTTGTTCATGTTCTTTCAAATCCTTTGAACAAAAATATTTTTTACATCCAATGCAAAAGTATTTAGCTGAAGATTTATTGCAGATTGAACATAAATTTGATTCATTCACTGTTGCCATCAAGCTTAGAAGAAAATCACTCGATCTATGTAATTTATTATGAGAATATGTTGATCTAAAATGAATTCATATGAATATTTATGAAAAAAAAAAATTTAAGTGATTTACTTAATTTTCTTCTTTTATGACTCCAATCAAATCTTGTTCAACTATCTCTAATATAATTTCATCTATAATATGTAATAAAATCATAATAATAGAAACACGACTATATTAAACTTCCATGAGTTCCTATGTTTGACTTAATAATTATGAAAATATTGATTAAATTCGGTAATCTTGAATAACTCATAAATTTTTTCTGAGAATGAGTAAAGTATTTTGAAATGAATTAATTCATGTTGATAGAAATCAAAATTCAATAAAAAATATTTTTGATCTTAGTATATCAATTTCTCTATAAAGGATAACGATATTTTTAGTAAATAGAAACTCATTATTATTTGGTGAAAAATGTGTATGAGCCGAACCTAAAAAAACGCCTATGAAAAAATATTTCTTGTATGTAAGAAAAATACAGAACTATTGAAAGTGTGTGATGATTGTCTACAGTACACCTGCGTTTTGTTCATTTTGATAGCAAAATTTTCTACAAAAACTTTCTTGTATACTTTTATCAAGGATTACTTAAAGGCATCTCACCTACCCTTCTTTTTGATCATTGCTGGCTCTTGCAGAGGATATTACAATCTGTCCGCATGAAATTTTTACGACAGATATAGTACCAAAAATAAGAAAACATATATTCGAGAAAAAGAATTCGAAACAAAATTTTTCCGAAAAAACTCATACTCCATAGGGCTAATCAGATCCGACAAATTAGAATAGGAAGATGAAAAACGAAAATGATTAATTTTACATCTGAAGAATACTTTGAAGTATTGATGGTTCAAATTTCAGCTCGATCAAACAAAGTTAGAGGGAGATCTGTTACTCTATCACCGGGTAAAAATTTCATGTGGATCGGTTGTATACTTTTTGAGAACTAGAAATAGTCAAAAAAAAAACAGGGAGATATCGTTAATTTGATGATGAATTTTGTGACAAAATTTGGAAAGACGTGAATAAATGTAAAGTTAACAAAAAGCTTTTCAACATTTTTTTCTTTAAATCAGCTTTATTATTAGTTAACAAAATAAAAGAAATTTTTTACGAGGCCTTTGCTTCAAATGTGAATGTGAGCAGATTAAGTTTCTGCTTTGGTTAAGAAGAGCAGGAAATTTCAAAAATATTTTAATTTCCACAAATGCATTTATACGAACATTATATGCTCGAAAAAAAAATAGTTGTAATTTTTATTTTTAAATATATTGTCATCATAAAAGCACATTGAAAATAGAATAATTACATATTTTCAAAGCGCTTTGAATTTCTAATCATCGTGTGAATTAATATTGTAGTTCGCATTTACATATGAGACAATAATTCGACTACAATGAAAGTAACTTCATCAATCAGCTAATACCCAGAGACTTTTAATGACGACCATGCCTTTAAAATAGTGGTTACAACTTTTTTTTTTTCGAGCATATATTTTGATGAGTCTTTTTCTCCTTTTTTTGTACTGTTTTCATGTGAAATTCATAACAAGTCACAGACATAGAAGTGTCACAAATATGAATCAATCGGTGTCTCCCTTTGGAGAAATATCGACTTTTATTAGAATAAATTTCAATTGATTTGCTGTATGTTGTATGTAACAAAACGTGGAAATATTTCACAAAAAGTCAACACTAGTCCAGTTGTAATAAATGTGTGAGTTCATTTAGAAACCTTTGTCAAATCTACCACAATCTAGGCTTTGGTTCAAGTTATATAAATGAAAAACAAAAGTTTTGTCTATAGTTTCATAGCATTTTGATCATACCGATGAAACACTCAGTTTAAAGTGTTAAGACTGTTATCCATCTTTTCAATTAATAGTTGATATTTGTATTTTCTTTTTTTTATGATTGAAGATGAAAAATTTGTTAGCAAATATGTGATGAGATATTATTTTGATGAAATAGATTCAATCTGTTTTATGATATACAGAATGATTTTTACTGTCAAAATATTTTTTCATGTATATTATTGAAACAGAAGATATCTCAAGGAGACTATGAAAACTACCGAAGCTCTTCACTCGCATGTTTTGTTAAGAGAGAAACTTTTGATACTTAAAGACTAACTTAGCTGTTTTCTGTAATTGTAGGAGAAATATCATGGATAAATTCTTTTTTGTCAGGAAACTTTTCATCAGAAAGAAGGGCTTTGATTGTAAAAATATATAATTCAGTTGAATAAGATCTTGAAATCTCACAAAGATGGCTGATATCAAGATCATCAGTTAGGTTCGATTGATCAACTATTTTAAGATAAGTGACGATAATGAAGAAGAATTTCATGTTAATCTTTAATATATGAATATGCACGAATGAAATTTCTACTTTTCGTCTCAATAGATAACATCGTTCATGTATCTGCTGCTGCTTGAAGATGTATAAGAACTGAGAATCTATTACGTTTGTTCTTTTTTTTTTTTTGAGGACAATGGGAGCTGAGATCTTTGAAAATTTGTCGTTAAATTGTTCTATGTTTAGTTGCCATGATATGGAGAAACATCACCTCAAGTCTAAAGAAAACTATGAAAAACAACTATAAATATTTGAAGCATATTCGAAGTTTTTTTATTGGTTACTCAGACGGAGTGTTTGATTCAGAATCACATAGAAACTGTTCTTACCCGTATTCGATTCCATTGTGTATAAATGAATCGATCTTTATTTTTCTTCGTTCAATCTATTCACAAACTTTCTCGAATTCATTTTAATAAAATATTTGGTGTTTTCGTCTGAATTTTGTGCTAATAGTATTTTTTCTAATGGTTAATATGCTTCTTCAACAGGTAATAAAGATTCATTATATAGTGGCACAACGATTTGAGTTTAAAACAGAACTTCTGTCAATCTCTTGATCGATAAGGACAAAATTACGTCTTCTCTTTACCATAATGCAAAAAATATCTTGCCAAAATTGGACTGACTAATAGTTTTCTTATTTCAATCAATCAGATTTGTGTAAGGTTGTCCTCTATTCTTGTAAAGAGAAAACGTTCTGTTGTTTGGTCTCATCGAGGATTCTCTCTCAAGTAACTCGAATAACACTATACTTATTTCTTGTGGGAGTAGACTAAAAACTAGAAATAAAACAATATTTGCTCAACACAATCATTTTCACTTAATTTTAAGTAAATTAAGTGTTCAATAGGAAAACTTAAACTTAATATAAAGTATTAAAGGAATTCGTTAACATTCGATATTAAGAAATCAATTGGTGGTAGCTGATATTATTTTATTAATCTTAAGGATTAAGTAGCGAATTTTAAGTTAATTTAAAGTTAAAGTAAATAATTCATTCGTACTACCGGTAATGATTGATTTCAATAAATTATTTATTTTAATGCTTCGTACGAAAGACGCGTGAGAAATAACGAGCTATACAAAAAAAACAAACAGAACAAAATCAAATGATACTTACGTTTATCTTCTTGCGAAAGAAAAAATAGACGAAAGTAAACAAGCTTATTCGTCTCTAATAAGGTGCATGCAGCTCAAAATTTCTCCACTATTTTTTACGCTTGATTGAATAGAACACATGGAGTTAAATTGAAAAAATGCCTCTTCAATTTTTATCAGTAGATTCTTTTGGAGAAGCTTTCAAAAAATTTCGAATTTCAGATTATAACGCAAAATGTATTAACTTTTCATCTAACCATGAATATAATAATATTTTTTTCTTTTGTTCAACTTTATAATTATTTTTTCCGGTTCGGGACATATAAATGAATAGACAAAATAAGTAATTTATTTGAATTGTTAAAATATTATGCAATTATAAAACATTTAAAATCCTAGGGACTGGAAAATCTTGTCACCAATGTTTCCAAAGAAATCAACTTTTTCATTTTCAAAGCTTTGACAATTTTTCTAATGTGATTCTAAGCATTCTGCTTCTCTCAAAACTCTTAAATGAACTTTTTTGCTTTGATTCCTTGCCGATAAAGGGTGTCAGTGTAGATGTGGATTTCGTCTTCATTCATACCCACATTCGGTTGGCACGATATGCGATTTCTAGGAGTATGCCGACGAAAATAAGGAAATTTGGTTGAATTAAAATGGTGGACTTACTGGAGAATAGTCTCATTTGAACAGCATATCGGAATGCATCGAATACCATTTTCAAAAGCTTTTTATATTGAGTTATATGTGCACACACTTTTTTGAACACAACCAACAACACCTAACTCGCTTTACAATTCTAACTATGAGAAATTTTCATCTTATTTGGATTAGCATGTAAAAAGTTGTATTGAATTCATCTAGATCTTCACATGTCTATATTCTCGATAAAGAGAAGTCTAAAGAACTAGAGATTTTCGTTATGAACTATTCTCATTGTGTCCTTTTTATGTACAAAGTTTCAAATCGAAATTCGACTTTTTAAAAACCCCCAAGGGAGACCACGGTAATCTTCGAAAACCAAATCATAAAAAGTGTATATATCGATCGGAACAAATTAGAAACAAGACTTCTTTTAAGAGTTTTCGTAGTTCATTAGGGGCTACATGAAAGATAGAGCTTTGACTCAAAAGCGATTTGTCATCTGAGAATAACAGGTTATCTGTATACCACGTAATCAATTCCGAAAAAGTAAATCTTTCGTCATATTTACAGACGCATCTAAATAAGTTGAAATTTTGTACTTTGAGATTACTCAAAGTGGATTTTCATTTGAACCACATAAACTGAACAACTGAGAACAAATCGATAATTTTCATAGTTAGAATCATATAGCAAATATGGTATTGTTGGACTTATTCGAAAAAGTTTGTGTACCAATATTCAATATAACAAACTTTTTAAAACTGCATTCAATGTATTCTGTTGTGCTCGTTGAAATGAATCTATTCTCAAGCTTATCCATCATGTTGATTCAACCAACTTGTCTTATCTACGTCG